TTTCACTAGTATCTTTGCAAGGATTGCACATAAAAGTATATTTCTTAAAAATCGCACTTCACTTACATAATGTGTTTTATACATTATGGAAATAACTTGAAAAATTTTCGGAATCTGTTTCTGTAGAATTAAGGGATAAGTCCCCAGTGCTACATGGAATTGTAGGTATGTTTGTACCCTGTATAGTAAATCCATGATAATTTTCCTTTTCTGGTTCTGCTGTAGAAGCCAAATGTAAATGAGCTGGGACTAATAAATCATTTGAAGTTTTCTCTTGTTGGACATCAAAATCGCATTGTGCGTCTAAGCTTATAAGACTAGTTTCATCTTCTGCCTTGCTCACATCAAAGCTGTCATCGCCCATGAAAGAAGGAAAATCGAAAGTAGGAGATGGTGTTACACAATCGTCCATTAAAGAGATTTTCATATCGTTTTGTTGGGTGGAATTATTAACTGTAGTAGAACAAACCTGAAAGGGATCCTTAAAAGTTAATTTCTTCATAATAAATAAAACATACAATCTAACAAAAAATGTTTGGTACAGAACATAATTAATTTTTAATCAGCTATGAATTGCAATACTTGAAGGTAATAAAAATTGCTTTGAGAAAAAGATCATCTTGCTTTTTCAAAATAGCACAAGGTACTTTTTAATTTCATAATAGTATATTTGATATCAAGAGGAATTCATTGATTTTCAGTAGTATGACCTTTAAATGACCATGAATTCAAAAATCTAAATACATATCATGAAATCAAAAATACAATGTGCAATTTAAAAGAGGCAAAGTGTAGTCATAAATAATGATTTACTTGTGGAATAATTGGAGGTGGTAACTGATAACTTTCTATATCTTCGCAGTCCAAATTAGTTGGTAATCGTTGACTATGTGTAATCAGTAATGGAGTTCTTTCTAGAACTGTATTTACTTCAGACTCAATTTCTTCTTGAAATCGTAGCATTCTTTCCTTCAAGTCCAATGTTTCATTCATCATTTCTGTTGTTTTAGCTTTCATTTCATCGAGAAGTGTTATGTCTTCGCACATTAGATGTAAGCTCTATGAAGAATTTAACTTTGTTACAAAAAAAGAAATTTGTTAAGAACAACACAATTTAAACATATTATATGTACTTCACATATCATTAGAGCAGATTCCCAAGTGTTGGCGGGTACACGTTCTCCGGACATGTAAGCATTAAAATCTTTTTCATCCATATTTAATAATGAAGCTGTTAAATTTTCAATGAATGATACAGCGCAACACTGTAAATTATATTTTCTTTCAGTTTATATTTCTTATAGAAATTTATAATTAATAAAACGTAAATAATAAGTATTTTCTTGTACCAGATTTGTAAAGTAATATCCACCTTCTCCTGTCATTAATCTGCTTGCATTACAAAATCTAGTAATAAAATTAATATTGCTTTTAAGACGTGCAGGATTAGCTTTTAGAACTATGAAAATCAATGCAGGAAGGAAGTCATCTGCTGATGCAGGTCCACCAACAGATTGTTGTAACATTAAAAATATATTTCTACAACAATAAATAATGCAAGACAGTTTTTCTTGTGGAGCTTTAGCAGAATCCATGTTTAATAAATCTATAACAATAGGAAAGTTTATTTAAGAAAATGTTTAGAAATTTAAATTTAAATTAATTAAATCCTTCATATGCAAACCTGTTATTGAACTGTAAACAAGTTCTCTAACTTCTGCACTGGTTTCATGTATTCTGCATTCTAAATTTTTTCCACTTACCCAATTCAACTGCCGGATTCTGTAAACATATGTTATATTAATTTAAGTTTAGTCTTTATTATAAGTTTTAAATGAGATCAACCTTTTTTGTATCGCCAAATCCTTTTCTTCATCATTCGTAAAGGGAGGACAAAAGAGAATTCTGTAGAGTAAAGTCATAGTATATCTCTCAACATAATCTAGCAATTTTTCTTTAATTTCTGGTGTAATATCTAAAATAATGTTGAAATAATTAATACGACTATTTTATAAATACATAAAAAATTTGTAACAAACTTCTTAAAATACCTGCATATTTGGCATTACTTTCTAAACGCTTAGCAAATACTTGATAAAAGTTTTGTATGATCTCTGAAAGTTCCTCTATTCTTTTTACATCTTTATTTTGAAGTATATCAATTATAAAGGAATGCATACATTTTCTAACATCTCTTTCTACTGGTGTTTTAGCAATCACGGTTATTAGTTCTCGGTTTTCTGCTTTTACTTTTTCCAAATCTGAATTGTCTTTTGTTAAGTCATATAATAACTCTTGATATCCCTGCGCTTCTCACAGAAAGTTACATCTTAGATTAGATTGTTCATTGTATTAATTTAAAAGGAAAATTAGATAAAACAAAAAAGACAAAATAAATATGTACATACCTTTTGTAACTGTTTTTCGAAAAGATATGTTTAACAATTTGTATTTCTTTTCCTGTTGTACTTTCTTCTCTTCATATTTCTGTTGAGCATTAGTTATACTCCGATTCGTAGACTGGCTATAGCATAAATTTTAAATTTAAGATAGTCATCGTTATTACTTCAATATATAAACTAATTTGATACTTCGATTGAATTAAATATTTCATACGTTTATCTTGGTGTTAGATTGAATATATCAAAAAAGGATAAATAAATAAGCTAAATAAAATTTATTACCATGCAATACAGAAATGATAAGCTATAACATAAATGTATTACATTCGAGATTTTATTTTTTAAGTTATTAAAAATATCAATTACTGTAACAAGTTATAATTAAGTTAATAAACATACGTGTCATATCCTTGTCCATAAGCATTAGATTCTGATTGAGATCTTTGTTTTTGTAGATGCTCTCGATGACATTTACTACAATAACCTTCCCATTCAGCATTTCCATAAAATCCACAACCAGTTTTGCATTTAAGATCTGCTTCATCAATTCTTAAGGAAGGAGTTTTTGTTGAATACATCGTGACGCCACTTTTTTAGTGTTACAATTATTTCTTCAATACATTGTACAATTTACATGTACGAACCACTTGTCATCTATAACATCACTATTTAACTTAGTTACATATTGCGATAAATCATGGGTAAATGTCAAAACCATGCCAACCGAATTCTAATGATAAACAAGATTTCAGTGGAACACATGGTATATGTACATACATACTTGGAAACTTGATTGGAAATTACTTTTAAATGATATAAAATCTATTTTTATGATAGTTACTTTTTTAAAAACAATCGATTAATTAATATGTTTTGAAAATGTATCGAACGAAAAGCTTTCTATTTCATCTGATAATTTAGAGCTGTCATCATAACACATTCTTTTGGTTTATTTAAAATATTTCTAATTAAAGATATATATTTACATGTGTAATGTATTCGCGATGCAGGAGTCACTTCCTTTCCATAGATATCTTCATTACAGAGTATTTTTCATTATTTTTTACATTTTACAAATTCGGAACTTGTAGCAAGTAGCAAAACCTTTGATATTGAAATGTCCAAATTAGGAGACGTTACGCCACATAAATAAGTTCTACATATGTATCATCATAGATAAGACATCTATATTGTATGCTGGACATACACACATAGATACTATTTTTGCACAGATGTGTCACTATATCAGTGTCACAGGATTAGCCACAGTTTATTGAGTCGTGGGCTGTATGTATGCACACGTAAATACCTGCATACACGATCTTCGATTTTACCGCCTCTCGTGTGAAACTTGAGAAACTGTGCAAACTTACATGTTGTATTTAATTCAGAAAAAGAAAGGTTATGATTTCCTATTCAGAAAGTAAATAAATTTGAAGACTTTAACAATTAATTGGATACCTTCATTTATTACACAAAATATAAAAATGTATTGTACACGAATGTTAACTCTTCGAAAGGTGTGATTAATTAAAATAAAAGTACTTTAATATAACCTAATGTATAATGTATAAACATTATACACTCCATTTCAATATCAGATATACTTAATGTTATAAAAGAATCATTAAATATGTATTAACTTTGTTTTCTAAGATAACTTGTAGTATAATTTAGTTAGTTTTTATTATTTTGTTATTGTTGCATTTTAATGATTTATAAATTATTTATTCATAGCAGCATGTGATACATATTCTGAAACTTTTTTTTCAGAAAGAATTACTTTCTTCCACAACAAGGTATATTATGGACCAGCAATGTATCATTACAACAAGTACAGATTTTTCAACGAGGCCTCAACTTTGTCAGTTTTCTAAAAATGTTAATGCAACTGCTACTTCTACAAATGAAACTGTGATACCAGAAGGACCCCAGGGACTTAAAAAGTTATTTATCAAAATGGGTTTCAACAAATATGTAAGTACATCTGATAATAATTACTACATTTAATGTGTAAGAGTTATATACATCAATATCTCTATCTTTTTATAATTTAATATTAGATTTAATATCTATCACAAGTAATGATGCAATCAAGAAAGCAAAGATTTTTTCTTAATAATGCTTTAAACTGACGTTTCTGCACTTGTTACAGTTAAAAATACATAAAAATGTGTTCTATACACTATATTCTGCCGAACGTGTTTTTGAAACTGAATAGAATTTTGCAGGAGATGTAATCTTTATTTTTTATGAAAAATACTATTTATATTATAAGATTTTATAAAATACTATTTATATGTATTACTGTACT